AAACACTTACTCTGACTACAATGCAATAACAATAGAAACTATTGAAAAAAAACGTAAGGCAAAAAGGCCCATTCACCTACAGATCATAATGTCAGTTCTCTTAAACAATTGCTGAAAGTTGAAATTGCATTTTTCAATTCCTTAAGAATACTGATAACAAAACACTAAAAGCCAGAATCTACAGACCACATATCCGATAATGATAGAAAAATTCATGGCACTTACATGCTTTAACAAAAATAGAAACGTATAAGTAAAATGAATAGCTGACTGCAAAAGAGGCAAGGACACTTTTAAAAATAATCAAGATAAAAGCAAAACGAGGGGAGGAAAAAAATTATCTGTTAAAAAATAATTGATAAGGGTCTGGCATAGTAGCCTAGTGGCTAAAGAACTCAACTTTCAAATGCCAGGATCACATATGGGTGCTGCTTTGTGTCCCAGCAGCCCTGTTTTCCATCCAGGCCCCTGCTTGTGGCCCGGGAAAGCAGTCGAGGATGGCCCAAAACGTTGGGACTCTGCACCCATGTGGGAGACTTGGAAGCAGCTCCTGGCTCCAGATCGGCTCAGCACCGGCCATTGTGGCCCCTTGAGGAGTGAACCAATGGATGGAAGATCTTCCTCTCCATTTCCCCTCCTGTCATGATATTTGACTTTCCAATAACAATAAATAAATCTTAAAAAAAAAAGAATCGACAGAATTGATGTGACTAGGTGACATGATCACGAAAGGAAGGAACTCACAAATGTGTGTCTGTGTGTGCGTGTGTGAGAATGAGACAGCAAAGCAAGAAAGTGGTAAAATAATAGAATTTCAAATATCGTAGGTGTAAATACAAATAGACTTGAAAAGCTACGTTAAAATGAAAATTTCCTAGGAAAACAAAAATGAGCAAAGCTTCACAGAATCAGAGTAATTAAACTAATTGCTATACAATAAATTGGAGTATATTACCAGGAAATTACTTTACAAAAGGACACCAAGAGACAATTTTAAGGAAAGTTTCTACAAAATCCTCACACGCAAATTGCCCCCAAAGTGCTCTGTCTCACTAGAGGAAAGTAAAACATTGACATCTAAACTTGGTAAACACACCGGAGAAAATCAAATACCACTGAAGAACAAGGCAAAAGTGCTAAATAAAAAGTTCATAAATAGCCATGGGTACCAGTCCATGGCGATAATGAGAATAAACCACATCTTGACGGAGCAAGATTTATCTGAGAAGTCTTAAGCATAATCATAGGATATGCACACACTAATATAATGTATTATATGATAGTTTTAATTGGGAAAGCATCATTTCAGCAGATGCTGAAAATGCCTTTAGAAGTAACCAACATTTTTAAAATTTTACTAACACACAAAAACAAAACCATTATACTGAATGGAGATACAAATTACATCGTAAATAAGCTCAAGAAAAGGCAAGAATGTTCACTATTTTCACTTTTATAACATTACAATAAAGAGGGCACTTAATGCTATCAGACAACAGAGGTCACCATTTAAATTTGAAAAGAAGCGAAAAATCTCCCCAAATATTAGCAAATTAATAAAACCATTTAAAATAAATAAACTCAATGAGACACCAAGATGTAAAACAAATATAGCAAAAGCAATTGCTTTCACAGCCACAAACAACCAGGCAGAAGACACATGGTAACAAAAGCCCCATGTACAAAGGTAACAAATAATCTCAACAAAAATGTATAAAATCTATTACTGGAACATTTGTAAGTGCTTCTGAAAGACACAATGTTAAAATTGAACAAAAGGAAAAGCATCTTGCATTTTAGAGTCAGACAACTCAGAATCATAAAACCGTCAACTCAATACAACTCTAACTAAAATGTCAACGTTATTCCACGGAATTGGAAAGTTGATATTAACGCGTGTAGACAAAGACAAAACATCCAAAATAGCTGGAAGCACACAAAATAAAGAAACTACAAAGGCAAATTAGTCTTACCAGACATTAAATTCTCTCTAAAGTAGGGTGAGACTATTACAAAAGCAAACATACTGACAAAAGAAGGCCATTGGTAGGGGGATGGAGAGGAGAAAGAAGAGAAAGAGGAGATGGGGAAGAGGAGGAGAGAGAGAGGAAAAAAGGAAAAAAGAGCGGAGGAGAAGAGGAGGGGAGGGGAAAGGAGGTAAGGCAGAAGGAAAGGAAGAGATCAATTCTGAAACAATCAAACGACCCAGGATAGTGATACAGGTGGCACCTTAAATCATAAACACAAACATGACTTTTTTAATTACGAGGCAGCCACTCAAGAGAACACTGAAGTTAGAAGAGTTGGCATCATGGCGCAGCAGGATATGCTGCCTTTGGGATAACTGAATCCCGTATCAGAGCGCCTAGAAGCCAGTACCAGCTCTGCTGCTTCTCCAGCTCCTTACTAAGGCACCAGGGAGGCAGCAGATGATGGCCCAAATGCTTGATTCCTGCCACTCACATAAGACGCTGGCTCAGGTTCCTGGCTCCAGGCTTTGACATTTACAAGTTTATATACTGCATCAGCTTAATGCCCAGAGAGAGATGTGCTGAATAAACTATGGTACTTGCATGATTAAGTACTATGAGGCAATAGAAAAGCATAAAGATTATTTATGGAAATTGACATAGTTTCCAGGCTAAATTATTAGACGAAGAAAGTAAAATGCAAAAGAATGCTATCTGTTATTAAAGGAAGAAATGGTTTTTTAAGAGAAGCAGAAAAATCAAACTGGACAGGAGATGGGTGAGAGTGAAGTAGGAAAGACGGGGAAATGGACGGTAACTAGGGAGGGAAATGGAGGTGACTTCTTGTTTTGAGCTCACCGCTTGTCTTCAAGAATATGTAACAAATGTCAAGCTGGTCCTTTGTTTTTTTTTAATCATAAAAGTAGCTCCAATGTCTACTATGTTTTTGTTTTCAGGTTCCTAAGTAGATAATTTGAGGTTTTATTTCAACAAGTTTTCTGAGAACCTACAGATTTTGAAAGGGGTTAATTTGCTATAATTACTCCCAAGAACTATGTTGTCCACATCTAATATGGGAAAGGAACAAACTAAAACATTACAGACACATAGAAAATTGGACGCAAAATCGAAGGCAAATAATCAGAATTTTTACATGATTAAAAACTGTGTGTTTACAACATAATTTCTTTCAATACTCTTTTTTTGCTTACATAAGCTTTACTCCAAAGATTACAAGGACAACTTGACGTCCAAGTGGTAAGCATCCTAAAATCACTTAAATAATGTTAAAGAATATGCCACGTAAATAAACAGACGGTGGAAATTGTGCAGGGGTGAGAAATAGATAAATAAAAGCTACAGTGTGTTTGGGGAGAAGTTAGTGGATTTTGAGAAGGCAAATAAGAAGCTGATAAGTCTAGGGGATTTTATCATCCAATAAAAGAAAGCAGATGAGTTAATCAAGCAACTTTGTGTCAGACACAAAGCCCCTGGAGACTTTCTTCTACAAATTCCTGGAGAATAAGTACTCAAAGTCTGAGGCACAAGCCTCTTTGCAGGGTTCTCTGCTACTCACTGCTGACAGCACTTACATCTGACACACTCTGTGACACATCAGACAAATGCATGATATAATCTTATTAACCTAATTCATCTCATCTTTGGATCTTCAAAGGCAAAAGAAATCATTCCGAAAGTGAATAGTGTACAAACAAAGGCAAACTAACAGGAGATGACTGAATACAAACATCCAAGCATCTTCTGTCCTGGTAGACAGTGGATACCTTGGACAACCTCTTCTCCTGGTCAATGGATTTCAAATGTGAAAGAGAAGACAAAAATGGAGAACTGGTCCAGCTGACGATGGATGGACAAATGAGTCTGAGGGTCAAATAGAGTCCAAGCATCTGTTCAAAAATTAGCTAAACCCTGGGTCACATAGCCAAGACCAGAGCTAAAGAAGAAGAAGGGAAGCAGATGTTTGATGAAGTTATAAGGGAAAACATACAACTTTCTGGATCTGATCTTACATGCAATAAAACACCATGAAAACTAAATTATTTTTATTATCTTTAATAATATCCTGCTTTCCTCATATCATGCTAGGGAATTTTATTCTGGGAAAAGAGACATCTGCTTTTTTAGGTTGTTAGAATCCTGGATTTCATTTTTATATTGTACAATTTAAATTCTGAATCCAAATATACTAGATAATAACATCATGCCTGATGATTGTTATAAACTCATGGGAAATGGTTAAAATGAAATGGATCACAAGCTTGCTGGGTCTTTTATTATTTTTTTAAAAATCTGCTATACACATAAAACTTCTGGTTTCATGTTTTATAGAATAAGTGAAAGTCCAAAGCTACTATGAATCACATTTTCAGAGAAATACAGATGGACCCAGAAGGATATTAAAGAGAAGCCTTACTGTCTTTGCTGTGCTAATACAAGAAACTTTTATTTTAGATGACTAGAATGTAAGGAAAATCTGCAAGGAGACCAAATATCCATGATAGAATCACTGGTTCACGTGACTGTTTCTGAAATCATGCCTGGTCCCTCAGAGGATTTCACAGAGGTGAGTGAGCAGGGAGAGGCCAGCAAGCCTGCATGTGCACGCCTCAAGGAGTGAGACACTAGAGTATACCAGAGGGGCTCACCCTGTCCCACACCACACTGGCTCCAGGATCATCCCCCAAGGACACCCTTCGCTTACTGTGACAAGCTACACACTGCATCAGCACAAGGATGGCATCACGGCCCTGCATGGAAGCTGGTCCTATTCTTTTAGAACACTTGTTTAAAAGCCCCCTTTAACTTCAGCTTATTTACTCTAATTCATTGATTTAGTCAACATGTATACAGTAATTACCACCAGAGGTAATATTTCCATTAAGATGAAACATATTTGCCCTTTATCCTTTTGGAGAGACAAACTCGTCAACAAGAGTAACAGTAACACTCCATTTGCCTTTTCTTTGCCCTGTTTCCAATTGTAAATGTCCGTATCTCAGGATAACTCACCTGAATTATACCTCCCAAGAAGGAAACTGCTGTCGCCACACTGATCCTCTGCAGCTCAAAGTCAGATAAGCCCAGCACGCTTGCATTGCGCTGTGTGGTGAGGTTCTGGCTGCTCTGCGGGACAAGTCGCTCCACTGCATTGGCGGAAATTAAGGATGTCAGGGCAAAGGTGCCTAAAACAGGGAGGTGGGAAATCCGGTCTCAGTAACTTAATAGAAAGAAAAAAGGCGCGGGGTGGGGGTGGCTTGATAAAAATGAACGGATTCCACCATTGCTGTTCAAGCCACATTTGCAAAGTCTAATACATCTGTTAGAAGCCTCCTCCTTTGTATCACAATTTCTCCACGTTTCATCGCACTCCATGGCAGAAATACAAACCTCCCTCTATATCCATATGCACATTCAACATAGTTGTCCATGTGTTTAGCCCACTGGGTAAGATGCCTTTAGCCCATGTGAGAGTACATGAATTGATTCCCAGCTCTGCCTCCTAATCACACCCTGGGTAATGATGGTTGAATAGTGAGTTCCTGTCACTCATGGATTGAGTTTTCAGCTCCTGGCTCCATCCAGCTCTGTCTGTTGATGGCATTTTGGAAATGAACCAGTGAATAAGAGCTTTTTCACTTTATGTTTCTTTCCTTTTTTTGCCCCAAGATTTATTTATTTATTTTCTTATTGGAAAGGAAGATTTGCAGAGAGAAGGACAGAAAGATCTTCTATCCACTGGTTCATTCCCCCAAGTGACTGCAATGGCCAGAGCTGACCTAATCCGAAGCTAGGAACCAGGAACTTCTTCCTGGTCTCCCACACAAGTGCAGTGTCCCAAGACTTTGAGCTGTCCTCTACTACTTTCCCAGGCTACAACCAGGAAGCTGGATGGAAAGTGGAGCAGATGGAACAGGAACCGCCTCCCATATGGGATCCAGGCAATTATAAAATGAGGATTTAGCTACTAGGCTACCGCACCCCCCCACACACACACACAAATCGCTGTGTGTGTTTCTGTTTGTCTCTCTGCCTCTCAAATGAATAATTTTTAAAAAGTTAAAAATACAACCACAAGTGCCTACTTGTCATTCCTTTCTGTGTCATAAATTTTCCCACCTTTTCGGCCAACTGACAAAGGAAATGTTCATTTTCTTCATGAAAGCAATGATCATTTAATAACAATACACAGGCATTTGGAGTCCACATCCCACATGAGAGTACTTGCTTCAAATCCCAACTCCCCCAGTTTGGACTCAGCTTCCGGATCCTGCACAGCATGGGAGGCAGCAGATGATGCTCCAAGCACTTGGCACCTGAGACTCACATTGCAGAACAAGACTATTCCCAGACTGCTGCTCTCAGTCTACGCCTGCTCTGGCTGTTGGTGGTGCGTGGGGAATGAATCAAGGAACAAAATAATGGAGATAAAGAATGCCCCCCACCACATGTTAACTAAAATTAAATCAAATTGTTTTAAAAAGAAATATGTTCTATATATTAATGTCTGCAAGAACACTAATGACACAACATCGGCCCCATGTCTATTCTCATTGAAAGGTTAAAAAAAAAGAGTTTGTTCTGCATCTGTCCTAACATATACTGTGCTATGAATGGGAAAATAAGATCATCTCTTGTTTATTGATTCTAAAGAATTGTAAATATTGTGACAAAAAATAAAAAGATACATCTGGTGGCAAGAGCATATGCAAAAATAAAACATAATTATACAGTAGAATGACTAAAGCTAAGTTCATTAATTATATATTTTTTGCAGTGTTATTCTTTACCTGACAGACTACAAGTTTTCAAATCTTAGTAATTTTGTGAGTACAGAATCCTATCATAAATGCAAATTTGAAAATCCTGAAATCAGTGATTCCTCAGGAAATAAGATGGTTTCCTTAAGTGTACATTTACATATTAAAAATGTTTTTTTTTTTTTTACTTTTAAAGTAATTATTGTCTTCAGCAGTTTTGTTTTGTTTTTCTCTTTTCTCTTGCATTGGTGCATCTGGGGTCAGATCTAGAACAGTCTGCCTTTTCTTGCTAAGGATATATCTAAACATTTTATATATTGGATATAAATTTTTAGGAAATCAGGTTACAATGAAATTTAGAATTTGAAAAGAATAAGCTTTAAGAATTGTTAATTAGGGCCCGGCACAATAGCATAGTGGTTAAAGTCCTCCCCTTGCGCGTGCTGGGATCCCATATGAGCGCCGGTTCTAATCCCAGCAGCTCCATTTCTCTTCCAGCTGCCTGCTTGTGGCCTGGTTAAGCAGTTGAGGATGGCTCAAGGCCTTGGACCCTGCACCCGCATGGGAGACCTGGAGGAAGTTCCTGGCTCCTGGCTACAGATCGACACAGCACCGACCATTGTGGTCACTTGGGGAGTGAATCATTGGACGGAAGAGCTTCCTCTCTGTCTCTCCTCTCTGTATATCTGACTTTCCAATAATAAATAAATCTTAAATTTTTTTAAAATTTTTTTCTTCTTTTACTAAAATAAAGGGGAAAAAGTTGGGGCTTTGATTTGGGCCAAACCAGTGTTATAATCCAAACATCTGTCACTGTAATCTAGTCTCTCATAAAAGACATTTTTAATTTTGGCACTTGTGTTTTTTTTCACCCAAAATATAAGATAATATCTGTGTTAGAATAATGGTTTTAGAGCAAAAATAACATAATATGTGAGGCTCTTATCACAGCGTCTAATGAATATACTCGGATCCAACTTTAATCACGTGTACATATACATCTGTGCGTGTGCACAACTTCATGCATAATATAGCAATATAAAATCGGGGGATCTTTCTAAAATGGTGGTTCTAATCTAATAAGTCATTTCCTTTCTTCTTGTTTTTTTCCTTTTGAGAGACAGATTAGAAAAAAAAAAAAAGTGTCTTTATGCCTGCGATAGCCTCAACCGGAGTGAGAGCCAGCAACCCAAACCGGGTGTGTCACAGGTGGCAGAGGCCCAATCACGTGAGCCACGGCTGCAGTCTCCCAGGATCTGCATCGCAGGAAGACAGGGTCAAAGGCTGGAGCCCAGATTGTCCAAAATGAGACGCCAGCCTTCCGACTGGCATCTTAATCACCGAATCACATGCCTGCCCCAGATTCTTTACTTCTAACTAGCTCTCACATAGCTGACTCATGAATCACACTTTATGTAACAGTACTGTAGATGACTAGTGACTATTGATCATTCCCCTATGACAAAGTTAGCTGATACAAAGAGTAGTCAAATTCATGGAAAAAAAAAAGAACTTCTTAAGAAAATCTGAATATCGACAGGTAGACATGCATCGTCCCAATTATAGGCAAAAGAATAGAATCAAAGAGGGGATGAAGACGCCCTGTTGTTGGCCTTGGAAGGAGGTGAGAGGGTCATGAGTTAAGGAATGCAAGCAACCTGAAAAACGGCAAAGTTCAGAGGACAAACTCCCTGGAGCCCCCAGACACCAGCACAGCTCTGCTGACATCACCCAAGTCAATCTGTGAGACTCATCTCAGACTTCTGACCTCCAGCGCTTTAGAAAAACAGTATCTCCACTTTAGAAAAACAGTATTGTTTAAGCCACTGACGTCAATATACTTTGTTTCAGCAGCATCAGAAAACATGAGGCTGGAGAGTACAGACTGACCACTAAAAAATGGTGGCAGAAACAGGCCTTAGATGCACAACATAAATAGAAATATGTCTATGGATATTTCCAGAAAAACTATGATCACTATAAAAATATTACTATGATATTTAAGAGGAAAGTAGAATCTTAATAATAGTAATATTAAGTAATATTAATATAGCTGCCTGGACTAAATTTTATTAGGTAGCAAGCATTATGTTAGACACTGCACATCAATTATGTGGCTTTCACTGTAACCATACGAATTGCTGAGGACCATCTTACTCCCAAGAAGGTAGAAAATAGAGCTTTAAAACTTTGTTCAAGGTAGTATAGATAGCCAGGTTGACTCACATCAAAGCTAGCCTAGCTTGTTTTCAGAATAGTGACGACTGTTGGTGATTTGCTTAGTAATGCGGGGATATACAAGGTAAGCGAAGTTAAGGAACATCATAAAAGCTTGAAAGAAGTAACCCAAAATATGTATTTGGACCAGGTATCAAGTACATGTGTTTTTCTCCCAATATTTAAACAACTAAATCTTCTCTGGTCTTTTATTCTCCTTACAATTTATAAATTCAGAGTATTAACCTGCTTTGTGCATGCTCTTTTTGCAATTTGAAAATTTGAAAGATATCTGGAAATAATGCTATCTGCATGGTAATAGAGCAATAGATCACCACATGTTGACTATTTCTTGCCCTAATGTTGGTTGAGGTTTTCAGCAGTAAAATTACAGTGATCTTGGAGCTGTTAATCAGTGAGCAACAATAAAATTGAGTCCCTTTAATTAATAACATGAGACATTCAAATAGAAAAGTTATTACCTGTGGCAACATGATGCCCCATTCCAAATACGGCATAAATGATGGCTGGAAATAGGGACCCATATAAGCCAAATACTGGGTGCACAGATGAGAGAATAGCAAAGGCCAAACCTGTGAAGAAAGGGCAGAATAATTATGGCCACTTCTAACCTCCAAGATACAGTATATTATACAACAGAGCCAATATTGGTTTATGTAAAAAAAGAGATGAAACACAACTTAACAATCTTATTTGTTCAATACAAGACCGACACTGCTGTTCTAAATAGCAGAAAATTCACTCAGTAGTTTATATTTCTGTTTATATTCCAAAAGCTAGTATTTTTGCACTATTTTTCACTTGATTGCAGAGGCAGCTCTAAGAAAATAGCAATGACAACCATGGTTCAGAGTGTCTTACTACTCAAGGTCAGTCTTTATTTTGTAAGAATGACTCTAGGCAAACTTGTTTTAGAAACATTTTCACCTGTACCATTTTCTTTGGACAAAAATATCTGTGAAATTGGCAGAAGTGGTAATTTTGCCATTGATAGATTGTGGAATGGAGAATAGAAATAATGAAAAAAAGGCATATTCAAAGCTGACTGGTTGGGTAACCTACCTAGGCCTGTGTCACAGTGGCAGGGCCAGTGGACAAGCCCGTGTACATCTTATAAACTGAGCCCAGGCTGTGCGTCAGGGACAGTCTTAGAATGAAAATGCAATCGACCTTGGTTATACAAAAAGCAAGGAATACCTCCTGAATGCTAATTTTCATTCCCCATATATTCTATGGCCTACATAGTTTATATGTTCCGTGCACACAGAAAATTTTCCTAGTCATGTCTAAATGACTTCCTAGGGTTAAGATGTGAGCAGAATATGTATTTGCATAAATTCATTTAACTGATGTTGTTTGTAGCTGGTCCTTCGTACTGCAAAGCTACTCGCACTAAATTCTGACAAATCCAGTGCTATAAACTTTAGGAAGGGGCCAGGGGAGTGTGAAAATTCAGAGTGCCTGGGCTATCTGAGGCCAGGTCATGGATCACACTGTGGAGCTGGCAGTCCGCTATGGAATGGCAAAGCCAACCATTTTAGATAAATTTTAATTTCGCTTTTTACAATAGTCACACCTCAAATATTTCTCAAGTTACCTGAAGCATTTTTTTTTGTTGTAATTAATATACATGAAGAAGTTACCAATGACCATCCCTTTCTTTGTCAAAAATTGTTTGGGTTGCTTATTCACAGATCCTGTGTTCCCAGACTCTGATGAAAATAAACAATGGGCAGTGATGGGCCCATCAGTGCCAAAGGCCGCTCTGGTGTTTTGTGTCGGTATAGTCAAAGGCAGAAATCTGGTTGGTGGGGAAAGTGACACTAAGTGGTGGCTCTTGAGGTCAGCTTAATGCTGGAAGACTCTTGGCCCGCTCTTACCAGCCAACACCCCTTGGCATCTTGAGTAAAAACACTTTTTACATCAGTTTTCCTGCAAAAATAGTGTCTTACCAAACTGCTGTAGGTTTGATCAAATAGTTAAGAGAGATATACTACTACAGTTTAATGATCTACGGCTTTTTAAAAAAGTTACTATGTATGACTGAAATACACATCTTTGTTTACTAATTTATATAATTTTAATGGATATGCCTCCTGAGCTAGTCTTCATTTGTTGAAGTCTTATTTAGTGGAGCATGAAGTCTTTGATCAAATTGAAATTTAGAAAATGTAACCTCAAAAAAGAAAAAGCTATTTTAAAAAGTATTGTATTTGTATCAGTTTGTAGAATGCTAGAAAATAACCTTTTCTCACCCATTTTTCAGAAGGAGTTCCCTGGTTTAGAAAAAAAATGATCTACTCAGAGACAGGAATGGCAAGTGTCTTTGAGTAAGAAACTATGTTGGCCACATTTCCAAGACAACCCAGATGTGCTGAAGCAGACTTGGAGAAGAACAAGAGAGAAGTCATCCAGTTTAAAAAGCGCCTTGGGTGAATCATGCGGACACTAAATTCTGATAAATGCCAATGCTCACAGAATTGGAGTTGGTGGCAAGCAAACCCCAGGTGGCTGCATTTCTCCTCTACCTGAAGTAGCAGGTGTCCATCCAAAGCTGAAGCAGCCAGATCTGCGCTAGCCCTGTTTATCTGCCTGCTTCATTCCAATATTTATATCCTTTACATGCATGCTATCCCAAATAAAATACATGAGAAAATTAGCTCAAACACTGAATGCCTGTGGCACTGTTCCTAACAAAATAGTACTAGCCATATACAATAAAGGTAACTCAAAATTATGAAAAAGATCCCTAGATTATGAATTGATTGCAAAATAACATTTCAATGGAGTCCAAGAACAATTTCAAGGACTGGAAAGTACAGCAGCTTTTTATCTCATGTGACACTGATATTGAATTTCTAGTTGCAACAATAGTGATATTGATAACATGAAAGCAAACAATGACCTTAACAAAGGAGGAACAAATTAATTACAGTACTTTAGAACTTCAAGTGCTTCTCCCACAAATAAAAATCATAGGACCCAAGATAACCCCAAGCACATACCTAAAAAAAAAAAAAAAAGAAAGAAAACGAAAGATAGATAAATTTCTTTTTCTGACATTTGTTTTTCTGATTTGTAATATAAGTAGCATACATACTTGTAAACATATGCTTATACAAGTTATTTCATTTCCTCCAAAATAATAACTAGCTTGATTTACTACAAATTTAACAGGATTATTTGTCCTTCGTCTATATTTAATAAAACAGACTATAGACTTTGTCTATATTTAATAAAACATATCCATACAACTGTAATGATATTATTTAGAAAAAAATTGCTTCAAATATTGATAGATATTTATACTCTGTAATTTAACTTAGATAAGGGCAAAAGAAAGACAAATAAGTATTAATGAATGAAAACAAAACAAATGCTAGGCCAAAAGATCCTAGAGAAGAACAAGGGAATTAAGAGAAAGAGAGATATGTAGATAGAGAGAACTAGAATTGCTAAAGATGAAGTAATTCTATCTTTAAAATTTAGAGAAATAAAGATTATGTACCATTAATTCCACGAGAAAGAGCTTAGGATTTAGGGAGAACATTAACAATGAGATCCAAAGAAATGGAATAAAAGGTTCAATCTTGTGTTGCATTCCTTAATCAGCAGCTTAAAGTCATTGCGGGTATGCATTTCAAAGACAGTAAGTGGGAAGCCTAAAGGAACACAGGACATGAAGAAAAAGTGAACCTTGCTAGGCTAGCAATTACAAAGTAGGGGCAGCTACTTTATGAGATACGAAAATGTTGTAAAATTCTGTTCTCTCCTCTCTCTCTCTCTCTCTCTCTCTTCTACTCTCTTTTTCCTTAATGTCCCTCCCTACTTTTTTTATTTTTGTAATTTTCATAATAAAGTTCCACAGGCTCAGGGATTTCCCATTCCATTCTCCCCATCCTCCTCTAATCTTTTTTTTTTAATTATTATTTTTTTATTGGAAAGGCAGATATACAGAGAGGAAAGACAGAGAGCAAGATCTTCCGTCCGATGATTCACTCCCCAAGTGAGGGCAACGGCCGATACTATGCCGATCCGAAGCCAGGAGCCTCTTCAGGGTCTCCCATGCAGGTGCAGGGTCCTCGACTGCTTTCCCGGGCCACAGGCAGGGAGCTAGAAGGGAAGTGGGGCTGCTGGGATTAGAACCGGCGCCCATATGGGATCCCGGGCATGCAAGGTGAGGACCTTAACCAATGCGCCACCGCGCCGGGCCCCGCCGCTAATCTTTACAGCAGGCCCTGTTGATTTTTCGGAACAAATGATGTATGAATGGAAGAGCAATGATTTACCAAGAATAACAAAAAAAAAAAAAAAAACAAAAAAGAAAGAAAAGAAAAAATGTCCAGAAAAACTACCATACTCATAGAGAACTTGAGGTACAAGCTTTAGACGATAATGGTAGTATACAATAAGAATATAGTTAAAACTGTATCTTAAAGTAGTTTGCATAGTGTACTCAGTAGATTTGGTCACAACAATAGCATGAAATATCACACAGCCATTAAAATGTCTGAGTCAGAACTATATCCGCTGGTCTAGAAGCATGTCCATTACATAGTGTTAGACATCAAAAGCACATTTCAGTTTTATATTCTTATATTTTGTATGCTTATGTTAACACACACAAAAAGGCTACTGGTATCTTAAATGCTTCTTTGTAACATTTTAAATACAATTTATAGTGAATTCATATTACCTATAAAACATAAATACTTTACTAGATTTAAGTTGTTTGTGTATATTTTTCTCTATTTGAATAAATAATAAAGATAGACAAAGATTTTCCACTGGCTGGTTCATTCCCAAAATCCCACAGCAGCTGGGGCTAGGTTGAAAAGAAGAAGGTTGAAAGCCTGGTCAACACTAACATCTGAGAAATAGAGTAACTGCCAGATGTAGAGAAACAGAGCTGAGAGAAAAGTGTCTGAGAAAGTCAGGTCTCAGAGCTTGTGCAACGTCACAGAATTGACTTAATAAAGAACAGAAATGTCACTTGAACTTAACAATAAGGAAGTGACCATAGGAAAAGCGTTTCCTGAAGATAGGCAGACAGAGACCAAGCAAGAGCTGTGGAAGGATGGATATAAGTCAGAAAAATGAGGAAATACCAGCTGGTCTTTGCAAAATCCTTCTTGCAAAAAGACGTAAAAGGATGCCATGCCAAAGGGAACAGGCAATCAAGAAAAGTGGAGTTTGGTTTTTTATTAGTTTTAATACTAAATAATTGAAACACATTCAGGTTTTCTGAGTCCTAAATCATATATTTTGAAATTCCTTAAGAAAGAAAAGGACCCGACACCATAACAGAGTGAATAAAGTCCTTGCCTTGCATAAAGCTGAGATTCCAATGGACTGGTTTCTGTCCCAGCTGCCCCACTTCCCTTCCAGCTCCCTGCTGGAATTCGCACTGTCTCGTTCATTACAGCATTACTCACATAGCCAGGTACAAAATCAGCCTGAGCATCCACCAACAGATGAACAAATAAAGAAGATGTGGCACAGAGACATGAGTGAAAATTTGCCAGCTTTTATAAAGAAGGAGTTACACACAGATGAACATGGAGGGCATTCT